TAAGTAGAGTTTCGAGACTACCAGTAAATCAGTAATATGAGATGTATTCACTCTATTTCGTTCAAGGTGATGAAGGACTGGTAGAATTTTCCCTCAATAATATGATTAGAAAGTTCAAATTCTGCGCTGTCACGGTTCGACTCCCACTGAGGGTGTTGATAAGAACGATGCGAGGTCGAAACTGCAGTCCACCCTGGATGAGAACAACTTTGGGAAAAGCAAGGCTATGTGAAATTTAATGGAAATGTCAGCTCTACTCATAGCATTGTTTGGAAATTCTACTACTATTTCTTTTTCACCTAAAGCGAATTAGGGTGAATACATCTCATATTACTATAGATTAGACCAGTTGTTCCCAAACCTTTCCTAGTCGCGGCGTCTTTTTTCAATTAAATATTTTTTGTGGCGCCCTACCCTAAGTATGACTATTCGTAAGTAAGAGATAAGAATAAATAAAACTCGTTTATCTTCATTATTTTTTTACTTTATTAACATTACATTAATAGTTAATAATGAATGTGAGGGATGGGCCTGCAAATCACTGCACATTTTCTTAAATTGAAGCTTTTACAATATTTCGCGGTGCCCCTGTAAATAGGCCGCGGCTCTTTACTATCTTGCCAATCTGCGCAAGTTTTATAGGAGTTTTAACTAGTTCATACCCTTGAAAATTTATGAAGCGCGGTTGGAAATCCACAAATGGTGTTACGCACCAACAAATTTTATTACCTAAAATTATTAATATGGTTCTTTTATTTAATAGTGACAAAGAGATCAAAATGCTTTTTAATATTCTACTAATTCTTGAATTGATTATTTCATTATATTTTTTTCATCAATTGTTTAATCGAATTACATCAATTTCTAATTTATTCTGCATATTTGTATCATGCCTTTATTGCCACCATATTAAAGACAGTCCAATATAAACAAAATTATATCTTGAAAAACAAACATAACTTCTCGTTTCGAACTGACAGAATATTTACTTAAATTGCCTATTTTTTTGTGGCAAGGTAGCTTACACAATAATCTTACATTTATTCATTGCGTTCAAAATTAATTTCATTCTATATGTCTGGACATTTTTTTGCTAAATTACTGTCATCCTTTCATATCTTCCATTATCAACCACTCATAACACAAAATTAATCCGAATATTAGCCGGAGGACTGACCTGCGCGATTCACTTTTTGGTGAACGCGTCTCCATTGCTGCCTCGCCACTACAAAGGCGTGCCAAGCGAAGTAGCAATCTGCCCACCAGCCCTTTGGGAATCGGAACACGAAACGGACAAGCCTGCTCCCAACTCGGATCCCAAATTGATATGACAATCTCAGCTGAAATTTCTCCGCTTCCGGGTAAATCTGATGCGTTGCAGCAAAAGCACTTCATCCTGCCTCAGCCATCACCAAATCACGTGTCTCGTCTGCCAATTCGTCTCAATCAACAAGATACCAGACTTGACGCAATCACAGAGCTTGATTCCTCCAGCCAGACTCATTCCAAAAAGCCTAATAATACCACCGCTGGTAGCCTAATTCGAATCGCTCCAAGCAATTACTATCAGGGTTGTGTGACAAACTTTGCTATAGCTCCTGAAGAGCAGCTAGAGCGAAACCTGATCCATTCAAATCTTACAGGCCAGAAGGCTTTTCCAGAAGATGGGATTACACATGATAGACTGATTTCGCAGGCAAAATTACATATGGAAGGCGTTCAAACACACTATCATCCACAGCATACATTACGACTAAAGCATCAGCACCCTAAAGAAAAGCAATTCCAGAGAAGTGGCCTTGGAGAAGCTTATATCTCTTCAGCATTAAAC